TCTCTCTCTCTCTCTCTCTCTCTCTCTCTCTCTCTCTCTCTCTCTCTGGTGAGAGGAAGGTGTGTGTGGAGGAGCTGAGGAAGGGAGATCGTAAGAATTATCGCATATTCTAAATCTTTAACTTTTCTTTATCACTGTTTTCACTGGGTTTCATGTTATTTGTTTAAATTGTTATTTTGTGTTAGTTTCGCCACGTTTTAAGGTTTTTCTTTTTTGGTTTGGGTGTGGCCGTCAGGTGCACCTGGCTGGCCGGCGCCTAGACGCCATGGTGGTGGGAAGCACGGGGAACTTCTCCACGCTGACACGGAAGAATGGCATCAAGGTGGGTGCCGGTTCTTCGTGCAGCGTGGAGGAAGTTTGTTTGGCGGTGGGGGAGGTGGTTGGACACGGGTCCATTAAATCTGCAGCCCGCATGAACGGGGCTGTAGTGATTTTTGTCGACACCGAGGAGAAAGCTCGGCAGCTGGTCGAGGCTGGCATATCAGTGGGAGACTTGTTTTTACAGGTGTCACCACTGATGCTGCCAGCCACGAAGATCACCTTGTCTAATGTCCCCCCGTTTATTAGTGACGAGTTCCTAATCAAGGAGTTGTCCAGACATGGTAAGGTGGTGTCCCCGATCAAGAAAATCTTGACGGGGTGTAAATCCCCCCTTCTCAAGCACGTTGTCTCTCACAGGAGACAACTGTTTATGATTCTTAATAAACGGGGGGAAGAATTCAACGTTAGGTTTCATGTAAAGCTTGACGATTTTGAATACCTCTTATTCGCGACTTCTGCAAATATGAAGTGTTTTGGATGTGGACAGGAGGGGCACGTGATAAAAATGTGTCCAAACAGAGCCGGGCCGGTTCCGCCCGCTGCTGCGGGGGACCCCCCGGCTGCCGCGGGTGCCCCTCCCGATGCTGCTGCGGGGGGGTCCGCGGCTGCTGCGGGGGGTTCCGCGGCTGCTGCGGGGGGGTCCGCGGCTGCCGCTGGTCCCCCTCCCGCCGCTGCTGCGGAGGAGTTCGCGGCGCCCACTGACAAGGTCTGTAATAGTGACGAGTTGCCAGCTGTGGGTGGGGGCACGGGTGTGTGTGGGGATGAGGGTGGCATCACGGAGGTGTGTGGTAGTGGTGGAGAGAACGGAGTTGTTGTGGAGGGTGGAAAGGAGGCTCGGGGGGAGGTGGGGGTGAACAACGGAGAACGAGAAATGCAGGAGGGCGATGAAGAGTTAGTGTGTGGTGATCGGGAGGAGAAAGTGGAGGTGGATGGAGAAATAAAAGGTGCAAGACAGAAAAGTGAGAGGTCAGGAGCTGGTGTGGAGGGGGAAGCAGGGGCTGTTATAGAGGATATGGAGTTGGGGGCCCCAACCCAGGTGAAGAGACGAGGTAAAAGAAAAAATACAGATGCTGCTGCACATGCCAGCAAACAACTCAGCAAAATAGCTGCAGAGGAGAAAGAGGGATCAGACAGCGACAGTGAGGGCTGGGGTTCTGATTTCAGTGAGTCCTCCCGTGCCTCACAAGCTGACAAAAGTGAACCAAGATACCCTGCAGAATTATTCCTCACCTTCCTACAACAAACCAAAGGGCTGAGAGGAGTCAAAATAGAAAGCCACTTCCCAAACTTAAGGACTTTCTGCTCCTCAGCCAGACATCACATCAGGCACAAACAGGAATCAGGCCTCACTGACCAACAAGTTTACAGACTGAAGAAATTAATGAGCACAGCACGTAAACACTTCTGAACAATGACATACACACACGTTTTAATAATTTTTATAGTTTTATGGTGCACGCTTCTTAACTTTTTACCCATGGATACTTTTAAAATAGCATCTTTAAACACAAACGGGGCAAGAGAAGTTTTGAAACGTGAATTTATTTATCAGACCATAAACTATAAAAAGATCGATGTACTCTTCCTTCAAGAGACACATAGTGATGCACTAAATGATGCAGAATGGCGCAGGGAGTGGAAAGGAGAGGCCATTTTAAGCCACGGCACGTCTAAGAGTGCAGGCGTGGGAATCCTTTTTACAAAGTCCTTCACTCCCAGTCACATAGAGACACGACACATTGTTCAAGGTAGATGTCTTTTAGTCAAAGCTTGTTTTGATCATTTTAATGTAGTTTTTATCAACATTTACGCTCCCACCACCAATGCAGAGAAAAAACGTTTTTTAGAAGAAATTGGGGAGAGGTTGGGAGATTGTGGGACTGAGGACTATGTTTTTATAGGTGGGGATTTTAACTGCACCGAAGACGAATCTCTGGACCGCAATCATGCAGAGCCTCATCCGGCAGCCCAGCGTGTCCTGAGACAGCTGATCGCGTCTCACGGCCTGGTGGACGTATGGAGGAGGATGCACGCAGGCTCCAGGCAGTACACGTGGTCCCACCTTAAAGAAAATCGCATTTCGCTGGCTCGCCTCGACCGTTTTTATTGTTTTAAACATCATTTTAACGTGTTTAAAGCTTGTCAGATCTTACCAGTAGCTTTTACAGACCACTCGCTGATTTTAGGTAAAGTTTTTATCAGAAACATTTTACCTAGGAGCGCCTACTGGCATTTTAACTCAGTTTTAACTTATGACCGTAGTTTTAAGGAGATTCTGAGTTATTTTATGACGGGTTTTAGACAGAGGAAGAGAAATTTTACGTGTTTGCAACAATGGTGGGACCACGGTAAAGTTGAAATAAAACTGCTGTGTCAGCAGCACACTCTCAACGTCACTCGCAACATCACCAGATCTATCAAGGATCTGGAGATTGATATAGTGGAGCTAGTACAACTCAGTGAATCCACAGGAAACCGAGAGCACTTTGAAGCTCTCAAAGAGAAAAGGTTAGCCTTAACCAACCTGCTGGACGCGAAGGTCCAGGGCGTGTTGGTCAGGTCCCGGATGCAGACCATCACAGAAATGGATGCTCCCTCTAGCTTTTTCTTTGGCTTGGAGAGGAAAAACGGGCAGAGAAAAGAGATCCACTCTCTGCTATCGGACACCGGGCAGCAGCTGAGTGAGCCAGGCCAGATCAGGAGGAGGGCCGTGGAGTTTTACTCCTCGTTATTCCAAAGCGAATACGAGAGAGAGGACGAACTGTTCGGAGAGTTCTGCAGTGAGCTACCCCAGGTCTCTGAGGAGACCAACGCCCATCTGGGGCGCCCCCTGGGACTTCACGAGCTCCGCACGGCCCTCCAAAGCATGCAAGGCCAGAAGGCACCCGGTATAGATGGACTCACCGTAGAGTTTTACAAAGCCTACTGGGACATCCTGGCAGAGGATCTACTGGGTGTCTTCAACGAAAGCCTGAACGCCGGCTCACTCCCGCTGTCGTGCCACAGAGCGGTCATCGCTCTCCTGCCCAAAAAAGGGAACCTACAGGACCTGAAGAACTGGCGCCCGGTGTCCCTGCTTTGCACCGACTATAAAATCCTCTCCAAGGTCTTGGCTACCAGAATGAGAGAAGCTATGGAGCAGGTCATCCACCAGGACCAGACCTATTGCGTCCCCAGCAGGTCCATGGTAGATAACATCTATCTGATTCGAGACGTTTTGGAAGTCTCCAGTTCATTGGGCTTGAACACAGCCTTGGTCTCACTTGATCAAGAAAAAGCTTTTGACCGCGTCGAGCACGGCTTTCTCTGGGAAACTATGGGGAAGTTCGGGTTCGACGCTGGTTTTATAGCTAAGATCCAGGTGCTGTACAGTGGTGTTGAGAGTGTGCTGAAGATCAACGGTAGCTTGTGTGCTCCTTTTAAGGTGTGTAGAGGCGTTCGGCAGGGCTGCGCGCTCTCGGGGATGCTCTACGCACTCTCCCTGGAACCCCTCCTCCGAAAGATTCGAGCAAAGGTCCGTGGTTTTATTACACCCGGTTTTAACAACAGAGTGGTTTTATCCACCTACGCTGACGATGTTGTTGTTTTTATCAAAAACCAGAAGGACGTAGACATTTTAAAAAAAGTTACCGAAAGTTTCTCCACCCTGTCCGCTGCGAGGGTGAACTGGGGAAAGAGCACAGCCCTCGCCGTGGGTGAGTGGCCTGAAGGACTCCCGGTTCTCCCTCAAAGCCTCCAGTGGAGGAGAGACGGGTTTAAATATCTCGGTGTCTACCTGGGAGATAACGATGCGATCAGGAAAAACTGGGTAAACGTTAAAGAAAAGTTTGAGGATAAAATACAAAAATGGAAATGGCTGCACTCCCAGATGTCCTACAGAGGCAGAGTGCTAGTTTTGAACAACCTGGTCGCATCGCAGTTGTGGCACAAACTGGCCGTTTTAGACCCACCTCCAGACCTGTTGAAACAACTACAGTCCGAGATGGTGGAGTTTTTCTGGAAAGGTCGGCATTGGGTGCCACAGTCTGTTTTATTTTTACCAAGAGAGGAGGGGGGACAGGGCCTTGTCCATCTGGCCAGCAGGACGGCAACTTTTAGAATGCAGTTCCTCCAAAAATACCTGGCAGGACCTGCTGATACAGTGTGGAGAGACGTGGCCAGCTGCATCCTCAGAAGAGTGAGCGGGTTGGGGCTGGATGCGGCTCTGTTTCTAACTAATGTTGACCGTTTACAGCTAACGGGGCTACCCAAGTTCTATCAGAGTGTTTTTAAATTATGTTCCCCTTTTAAATTCGACAGAACAAAAACGAATAATTCTCTGCATTGGCTTTTAGAAGAACCGTTAGTCTGTGGAGCGAGACTGGACGTCTCTGACAGCACAGTGCCAGGGCTGCCGACGGTGCTTTGCAGGTCTGGGACGGTGACCCTGAGGCGCCTGGTGGAGACGGCCGGACCAGACTTCTCCGGCGTACAGAAAGTGGCCTCGTTGCTCGGGGTCCGGTCTGCCAGACTGGTGCGGCGCTTCATGGACCTGTTGAGGGAGAGGTTGACTGCTAGAGAGGGGCACCTCCTGCAGCTGTGGTCCGCGGAAGGTCGCCCGCCTGATCCGACGGACCCGTTTCCAGACACCCACCTGGTTCCTAACCTCGGGGACAGCAGCGGTCCCCTTCTTCGTGACACAGGCCCAAAGGTGGACTTATGCAGATCGGGGCAAAAAGTACTCTACAGAACCTACGTGAAAGTGCTGAATAAGAGGACTCTGCACAACAGAGCCGTTTGTGTCTGGGACGGCAAGTTCGGAGAGCAGAAGCCCCAGTGGAGGACACTCTACAAACCTCCGATTAAAAAACGGACTGGTGACCTTCAATGGAGGGTCCTTCATGGCGCCATTGCTACAAACTCTTTTTTATCTGTCATCAGTCCCGGGGTTTTAAACGAGTGTCCTTTTTGCAATTTGCCAGAGAATGTTTTTCACGTTTTTATGGATTGTGTTCGACTAACAGTTTTTTTTAGCCTCTTAACAAAGATTTTTAACCTGTTTGACACAGTTTTTACCCAATCTGTTTTTATCAACGGTGTATTTTACAGCAGGGCCACTAAAGGCAAGTCCCAAATTTTAAATTTTTTAATCGCCGAGGCAAAGATGGCAATATATTTGTCTCGCAGGGACAGATTGCAGGATGGACCTCACCTCGATGCTGTGTCTCTGTGGAGGTGCAACGTCAGGGCCAGGTTGGCCTTGGAGTTTCAATTCCACAGGGACACTGGGGATTTAGAAAGGTTTTTGAAACTGTGGGGATTTAAAAATGTTCTATGCACCATCTCTGATCAGAAGGAACTGACAATCAACAAGCTTTTAATGTAAACGCTCTAGTTTAAGCTTGTCCTGATCATGTTTTTTTACTAGTGTTTTTAAAACTATTTTTTTTGATAACTGTGTAAATAAAGTTTTGTTAAAAATCAAAAATCTCTCTCTCTCTCTCTCTCTCTCTCTCTCTCTCTCTCTCTCTCTCT